CCTCCATCCCATCCCTGTCCCTGGTGTCCCCCCCAGTTCCTGCAGCTCCGCAAGTCTGTGGTTCTCACCAGCAACTTCGCCAAGTCCGTGGTCAACCTGGCCGACATGGTGAGAGAGGGTTGGCTCCTGGGGTAGTTTGTCCCTGGGGGGAGTTGTCCCTGAGGGCTTGGTCCCTGCCATCTCGGGGGGGTTTGTCTCTGGGGAATTCGTTCCCAGGGTGTTTCTCCTCGGTGGGCTTGTGCCTGGAGGTGGGGAACGTCCCCAGCGCCCGGTGGGTTTGTCCCTGGTGGGTTTGTCCCCTGGAGGAGGTTTGGTCCCCAGGATCTGGTGGGTTTGTCCTTGGGGGGATTGTCCTGTGGGGGTTTGTCACCGGCAGCTGGTGGGTTTGTCCTTGTGGTGTTTGTCCCCCAGTGGTTGAGGGGTTTGTCCCTGAGGGAGGTTGTCCCCATTGCCTGGTAGACTTGTCCCACTGGGAATTTGTCCCCAACACCTGGTGGGTTTGTACCTGGTGGATTTGTTCCCAGGGGGTTTGCTCCTGGCACTTGGTGGGTTTGTCCCCTGGGGGACTGTCCGCAGCACTGGTGGGTTTGTCCCCAGGGAATTGGTCCCTGGTGAGCTTGTCCCTGGAAGGGTTTGTCACCAGTTCCTGGTGGGTTTGTCCCTGGGGCTTTGGTCCCACTGGGGGTTTCACCCCCACGGTTGTCCCCAGTGCGTGGAGGGTTTGTCCCTGGGGAGACTGTCCCCAGCACTTGGTGTGTTTGTTCCTGGGGGTTTTGCCCCCGGTGCCTGGTGGGTTTGTCCCTGGGGGGGTTGTTTGTCCCCAGCGCCGTCCCCTTGCCCCCGCAGATCTACAAGGAGCAGCTCAACACCCGCATCGTGCTGGTGGCCATGGAGACGTGGGCCTCAGAGGACCGGATCCGGATGGGGGAAGACTCCCTGGAGACCCTGAACGAGTTTGTGAAGTACCGGCACGAGGGGCCGGCGGAGCACAGCGACACCGTCCACCTCTTCTCGTGAGCACCGCGGCCGCGTC